ACCTACAAAGCCCTCCACCACCTGGCCCCCCCCTACCTCACTGACCTCCTCATCCTCTACCAACCACCCCGGTCCCTCAGATCCACCTCAGCCGGTTTGCTTTCCACCCCCAGGGCCAAACTCCGGAGCTTTGGGGACAGAGCCTTCTCTGTGGCAGCCCCGAAGCTCTGGAACTCCCTCCCCCAAGACCTCCGTGAGTCTGAGTCCCTCACCCTGTTCCAGTCCCGCCTCAAAACCCATCTCTTCAAGTCTGTATACCCATAAACCCCCCCCCCCTCTCAACCAACTTCCTCCTGACTGCTTTTCTGTTTTGTTTTTTGTTTTTCTGTTTTGTTTTTGTTTTGTTGTTGTTTTATTGCCTGTCCTTGTCTGTCTACCCTTCCCCAAATGTAAAGCGTCTTTGGGTTCGAGAAAAGCGCTATAAAAATAAAATGTATTATTATTATTATTATTATTGTGCACCCACTGAAAAACTGTCCAGCATCAGTAGAATGGCTTACATGGTTACTTGTATAGGTTGAGGTTGTATAGGCTGTTTGAGTGTGATGACAGGGGTTTGAGGGAAAGAAATACATAATCTGAAAGTGAAATCAATAAATTATGCTCTCAAATTTAAAGACCACGCTCTTGAATAAAGATAGGGAATAACCCCCATACGCGTCCCGCCGTCTCAGGCTGAGAAATCCGCAGAGCTGCAGCTGAGAAAAGATTGAGTGTGTGTGTGAGGAAGTCCGCGGATTGGTCCAAACGTAACGGCTCCGCGCACGTAACGTCACTATACCCAATACGTCACTATACCCAGGAAGAAAAAGAAAAATCTCCAACGAGGCGTTCTGGGGCAGCATAGACAGGTCTTTTCTGTGTTAGAGTTTTACTCGCTACAGGGTGTACTTTGAGGGTTTGTGACTCTGCAGACCGTTTAAATGCATAAAAACCTTCATAACACACAAGGGGACGGGTAATAACCGGAAAAGCATGACATGGGACCTTTAACAGTTTCTTATGCTCATCGAGTCATCCGTGAGCAGAGCATCAAGTTGGCATGCCTATAACAGCTGAATGCGGCGATTACCATTTTGTTCAGCAAAACGCCTCACAAACTTATTAAGATCAACAGCTTTAGTGCGTTTTGATTCAATGCTGAGTACAGCCAAACTTGACAGTCTCTTCTCTGTCATTGTAGACCGCAAATACCGCATTCTTTCCGTGTACTTGGGGTCCGAATGCTTCTCGTTTTTCGCCGTCCCGTTCAGATGAAATCACCGCCAATCACATTTCCTCACTCGCGCCAGGGCCGGGGGAGGGGTTACAAGCCTTGCGTCTTGTGCTGCATTCACTTGCACTCGGACATTAGGGATTTTCTCTCATAAATGTCCGATGAGCCACAACTTTTATTTCAAAACAAAGCTGCCAACTAGGGTGGCAGCTGGGGTGGCAAGGCTATTTTTAGCCACCCCGGTAGATCCACCCCTGCTTGACCGGTACTTGCTTTTGATCAAAGTCAATGCGGAAAACCCGCACTCACACAGGTAGGCGGAGGTGAAGGGAATGAGCACTTTCACAGCCTTTTTGGCGAGGTGGGGGAACTCGGTCTCCACAGACAGCCAAAAGTGTGCAAGTGATGTTTTCTGCCAGACGCTGTCTCCTCTCTCACTTTAGGTAACTTCACAAAAAATCGATCCATGCTGCCGCTCGCATAAAGTTAGCTGAGGTAAACTAGCTAGATTTCACTGTTTCTTGTTATTTTTTTCTCACGCTGCGCCTCCCCTGAAGCTCTCTGGCTCCCCCCGGGGAGGCGCACCTCACACTTTGAAAACCGCTGCTCTAAACATTACAGGGGCTTCTCTCCCTCTAAATCGGGAGCCATATTTTGGGCGGAAACATAATTTAAATAAAACAATTGTTTAATTCCATCCACATTAGGCAAAACCAACATAACCAAAAGAAGCACACAACATCATTCGTTTTTTCTCTGCTGTTGATAAACTTCTGTATGGAAGCCCGAAGTTAATATTAACTTGTAATTCCACAATGACATAAAATGTGTCATGTATGTTATATAACATTACATTTGTCTTTCAAATATACATTATGTAAATGTTATGTGAGTAAAAATATAATTTAAAGTGCAATATTTCACACTGAAAAGCAGACGATATTCAAATATTAAATCAAATTTGGAAAATGTAATGCAAAGAAAATGTAACTTGACTTTCTTTTTATGTCAATATTAGTTAAAATTGTATAAAATGTTCTAACAATAACAAAATGAAAACAGCATTTGACTTTTCATTATCAAAGATTTAATTTGCTACATAGACAATATTCTAATATAAAATCTATTTTGAAAATGTAAATGCAATACAAAAAATGTAGCTTTATTTTACATTTGTGCATTATTTCAATATTAAAATGAAAATTCAATTTTCATTTGACATTCATTTTCCCACATTAAAATGGCTCAGTGGACATTATTATTATTTTTCATATCGGCAATAGTGCAAGTGTGTGTCTGTATCATGTTAGTGCCATGGTCCCACAGGTAGATACCAACAACAGCAGAAGAGCTTTCAAACCGCAGGTTCTGTTTACCTACACCAAACCCCCCCAACATCCGCCTGTTATTGACCGTTAAAGAGTGTGTGTGCACAGCATGTGTGTGCATGCAAGTGTTTCTATACTAACAGGTGTTTGACAGTGGGATATAAACCCTCCTTCTTTAATCTGGCAGCTTGACAGCACACTGTTGTCATGTTTGTTCCTGCCTGGCCCTGTGATACAGTAAAGCAGATCGATAGCATCTGCTGTGTGGTTAACACAGGAAAAGGAAGTCAGAGGCTATCCTAAATGTCACAGAAATGTTTAAGATCAGAATACCTTTATTCGTCCCACAGAGGGGGGATTTACACTGTACAGCTAATGTCTATTGCACATTAGTGATATTGCACAACACAGGGGTTATAGTCTTTGTTTTTATGTGTGTGGTTGTAGTGCTAAGTAAAGACCTTCTGTATGCAATGTAGTGCTTTTAGGAGCTGAAATCAGCAGGAACGATTGCTGAGAGTACTGAGAGTTTACACAGTGTCAGCTGTCTTCAGGTAATCATATATTATTACACGTCATTAGTACAACAACATCATTAGAGTATGTATCTGCCATCAGGGCCTCCACACGGGTCTCAATCTTCTCATTGTTCCGCAGCCAGGTAACTAAGAGCTTTATCAGCTGAGCATCTCACACTCTGACTGTTAGTAGAGCAAATATTTGAAGACATAGTGTTTTCCACTGCAGCACGTACGCTTTTTTTTGCTTTTCCACTAGGGGTAGTTCCGGCTCAGGGCTACTTTTTCACCTTTTTTCTGGCCCTCCAAAATCGAGGTTCTTACCGGGCCAACAACCGGGCTGAATATGCTAAACTAGTGACGTAAACACTCGACTGCTGAATGGTCAGAGAGAATCGCTGGCAAGGGGGCTACAACTACAACAAAATGAACATATTTTACCGTGATTTAATTGTAATACACGTTTCAAAATGATGCCGAAGTAACAACATACTGATACCGGTTAGTAAAAACCATGAATTAATGCTTTGACAAGTCTGCAGACAGACGGCAGGCGAAAAACCTTTTAAAATGCGTGTTTTCTGAATGGAGATCGGATCGATCAGGCTAAGCTAACGCAGTATATGCTCCGACCGTCCACACTCACAACAACGGCCTATACAGACATAAATAAACCAGCGACTGTATTCGCCATGACACAGGCAGTCTGTGGTTTGTACTTGTTTAACTTTTGTCTAGTTTCTGAACAGATATGAGGAGCTGTGAGCTCTGAGTGCTAACAGCTAACGGCTGATGTTTTGGTTTTGTGGTTCGCATTGAAGATGACGTCACGGCGTCGCTCCGCCCGCCGAACAACCGATCGCCCCGCCTACACTGCATTACTATAGTTACTACCCCAGTTCCTAAACTGTAATGGAAACGCAGCATAAAGTGAGCCTGGCCTACCAAGGCGTAACCATACCGTACTAAGCCGTACTAGGTCCTGCTGTGGAAAAGCGCCAATAGAGTACTCCAATGATCCTGTGTATCTATGGAAAGCCAAAGGGCAGAAGTGGTGAGCTGAGGAAACCATATTGTCTTGTTTTGTAGAGACCAGACTGTTCCAAAGCACTGTACAAGCTTAAAACACTGTATGGAAGCCCTGAGTGGCATGTAAGATATCCTATGTTTAAATCGTTGGATAATCATTCTAATTTCTTTTTATGAAAGTAATATGTAAGCTAATTTATATTTATTGTATGGAGAAAGTCAACTTCAGCCTCTAGTAACAAAATGGGTATGAGTCTATAACAACACACGCTTGTTTTTACACATAAACCTTTTTTCAAGCTGTTTTAACACATTTATTTACCTGTTCTATAAACACAGGGGAGAATCACAAACATCAGACTTAAGTTGGCTACACACCAACCCGATTTTGGGAGTCAGAGGCCGTCAGAGGCAGTCGGGCATTCACGGCGCCCTACTCAGGTTGGTGTGTCCCGCACCGTCGTCTCTTTACGGCACCTTTTCACACCTCCCGGTCAGAGAAAGTCGGCCCAAGCAATCACTCTGATTGGCTGTTCACACTACCACTGCCTGCTGGCAAGGACAGTTATTGCCACTCGTCGACTGAAGTATTTGCGGTGTGTTCGTAGGCGGGCGGCATAGCCGACGCAGGCAACGTAGCTGACGTAAAAGTCGGGACGCCTTCGGTACGCGTTCTTTGGTCTCAGGTGGGTGTGTAGCGGCCTTTAGAAAAGGTTTATCAGATTCTGTTTTACCTTACTTGCCTCTCAGGGCTTCCGTACTTGTATGGGATGTTTGAGGTTTTGGGGAATCCTTTGGTATGCAAACTCAGATCCTTTGACCACATTGATCTGTAGTGTGGAGCCTTGATATCTGGAGCTGTGACAACATTTTGGCCTCTTAATAATAAATCAAATCTTCCCTCCTCAGATCGAGGAGTTTCGGAGGCTGCGATCCCATTTCAAAGGGGCGGAGCTGCAAGAAGGGAATGATGGGATGTTGGGGGACAACTTCCGGCCCACGCAGCCGCTCAGTGACCGGACGGTTCGCGCTGCCTTCCAGTGACCCGCACCTTCATCACCACTGAGAACACTCTGGGACTGACAGAGAGCAGAGCAGTGGTGAGCAGGAGCGTGAGCCCCCCCGGTCCTCCTGGTGTAAGGACAACAGTTTGATTCAAGGGGTATACATCCACAGTGCAATAAAGCATTAGCCTGCAGCACACTGTGCAGTAAACCCCTTAAATATGGGACCCTCAGTGGTGGAAGTGCTCTCAGATGCTTTACTTAAGGAAAAGTATACATTATTGTAAAAATCTTAAGCAAAAATACAAAAGTTTTATCAGCAAAATGTACTTTAAGGTGCCATGACATGGCCATTTCTACTGATCATAATTCCATTGTTGAGGTATACAAAAATAGATTTACATTGTTCAATGTTCCAAACTCACATTGGTTTCTCATACAGCATCTCTGTATAGTATGTGTATTCACTCTCTGTCCTAAACGGCTTGTTGGAGCTCCTGCCCCCCCCCTCCCTCCATATGAGCCCAGTGTGCTCTGATTGGTCAGCTCGCCCACTCTGTTCTGATGAGTCCACCACCGTTACAGGCGGAACATCAGTGATTATGTGTTACAATGGCGTTTGTTAGCAACCAGAAAATGACACCAGTAATGACAAACAGATGAGAATGCTGCGTGGGGTCTGGGTGCTGTGTTGGCGGGACGTTGCGAGGCTCGCTGCTGTGAGGAGCGGACAGTGTGAGCTGGATTACTGGTGTCGTTTCCTGGTTGCTGCGTGGGGTCTGCGAGACAGCGAGACTCAGCGAAACCCAGCCCAAAACCAGCCCGACTACACACACACACCTGCAGCCTGGTTGTGAGTCTGTGTGTGTGCTCACACACAGACACACAGACTCACAGCCTCGCCGCGTCCCGCCGTCTCAGGCTGAGAAATCCGCGGAGCTGAAGCTGAGAAAAGATTGAGTGTGTGTGTGTGAGGAAGCCGTTAAGCCCTTAACGTAACGGCTCCGCGGATTGGTCCATTTGGACCAATTGGTCCATTGGGTCATCGTTACATCACTTGGTTCCCGGAAGAAAAAAATGGAAAAAGAGAAATCTCCAACGAGGCGTTCTGGGGCAGCATAGACAGGTATTTTCTGTGTTAGAGTTTTACTCGCTACAGGGTGTACTTTGAGGGTTTGTGACTCTGCACACCGTTTACATGCATAAAAAGCTACATAACACACAAGGGGACGGGTAATAACCGGAAAAGCATGTCATGGGACCTTTAAAGTATTTAAAGTACAAGTACTCATTGTGCAGAAAAATAGACTTTATGGGTGTGTATAATTATATTTTTGTAATTTTCTAGATAATATTGTTGCACCAAGTAGCATTTTATTGACAAGTTCTGATTAACTAAAAAGTAAATTAGCTAAAGCTGTTTATAAATGTAAAAGAGTCCAATTATATTATTTCCCTTTTAAATGTAGAGGAATATAAGTATTAAGTAGCATAAAATAGAAATACTCAAGTAAAGTACCTAAAAATTGTACTTAAGTACAGTACTTGAGTACATGTACTTAGTTACTTTTCACCTCTGGTGACCTATACATTTATGCATGGTCCTTAAAAAGCAGTGGTCATTATTTTGTTCAGAAAACACATTACACATCCTGAAGACATCGAGAAAATGTAGCATTCATTTGGACTCATTTTATCTCCACTCGATGAATATAATTGTAATGCAGCTCCTGCTACAATGAGATGAATGAGAACTAGAGCTGACTGAAACTGAAAACTGAATTACTCTGGTTACTTTACATGATGTAATTATGTCCATTTTTCATATTAAACACTGATTTGTGCAGGTCTAACATAAGCACAGTGGTGTAAAGTAACTTAGTGTATTTACTCAAGCACTGTTCTTCAGTACAATTTTGAGAGACTTGTACTTTACTTAAAGTGGACCTATCATGCTATATTTGAATAATATAGTGTAGGACCATACCTATATAAGGCATATTTATACTTTTTTTTTTTCAAAATACCAAACAGATCATGCATTTTAGCCATGCCTCATTTTGCTCAATTTGACAATTTCTAGCTCTGTTTTTGCAAGGGCTGATTCAGTGAGAACAGCACCATCTACAGGCCTGGCATATGTACTACAGCGTCTCCAGCGCTTTCGAACGGCAATGGCCGTGGCTGTCTCCTCCTGATTGGTGGAGTTGGCCCAATAGCCGTAGCGCCACCGTCCTGACGTCAGGAAAGTGTTCAAATCTGGATCAGTTTTTATCAGATCCGTTGCAGCCCCTTTTTTAGAGATTTGGGTATGGAGGAAAATAGAGAGGGTTGTGTTTTCTGACACTTGGTGAGTTCCCTGGAACACCGGGGACACATATTCATGTATACAGTAAAAGACGTACAAAAGTGCATTTTGCATGATAGGTCCCCTTTAAGTATTTCAATGTTGTGTTACTTTGTACTTCTTACTTTACAGATCTGGAGAAATCAAGTCTTAAATCAGACTTTAGTTCCACCTGGAGTAAATCCACAAGCTACCCTGCAGTATACAAAGTCATTCAAACTAGCTGCACCTTTACCAGCTTTGAGAACACTTTAATGATCAATCATTATAAAACATATCATATATATTATTCTGAAATGGACCAATCTGCACAATGACTAGTTTTACTGTCGCTACTTTCACTATATTTTGATGCTAATACTTTTCTACTTTCACTTGAGTAACATTTTGAATGCAGGACTTTTACTGAAACAGAGTATTCCTACATTCTGGTACTTCTACTTTTACTCAAGTACAAGATCTGAGTACTTCTTCCACCTCTGCATATACCTGACAAGAACTGAAAGTGATAAGTAAAATAAGAGAGAATGAACTTCTCTCTGTACTCTCAGCACACTTCCTCACAGAGGACAGGCTTTTATTGGACGCTGTCCCTGCAGTGGGTCAAGCCCTGGAAGAACTGACCCAGTTCAGTTTCTAATCTGGGACAGGCCTATATACAGTGTGTATGGAAGGATCTAGATTCAGCTCAGAGGAGATGAGGAGAGTAGAGAACCACAAACAAGACTTTTTTAGCTTCTTAAGTTTTTAGCAGAAGTGGGAAGTACTTAAGAATGAAAAAACTGAAACATTGACTTCAATTACATGTATTATGTCAACAGATTACACATAACTGTATTTGGCATTTAACTGAATATAAATTGGTCTAGTCTAGATTTTATGTTGATCGAAATATTGGGAATTTTTGTTTCTTTACTTTAAGACTTAAAGGCTAAACTGGTTTATTAACTGTCACGTCACTTTATAACACAGCTGCAATTTAACTTTGTATGGCAGGAAAATGCATAATTAACTAACAGAACAGAACAAGATACAACAGTGTGTGTGACCCCTCCTGGCCTGCAGGCCTCTTTGGTAACCAAGGCACACCTAAATGACAATCACAGACCAGGACACATTTAAAAACTGTTTTATGCAGAACACAATTGCTTCACAGAGCTGAGTCCCTTTGCTCAGAAAGAAAGTGCTATATAAAAACGCAGGTAAACACCTTTTCGTGACAGCAGACATTAGGGGATGGCGTTGGTGGCAGAATGTGCTAAGAAAGATCCTTGAGGTTGATAAGGGGGCTTACGTTTGAGTGAAAGTGTATGTGTGTGTGTGTGTGTGTGTGTGGTGTGGTGTGGTGTGGTGTGTGTGTGTGTGTGTGTGTGTGTGTGTGTGTGTGTGTGTGTGTGTGTGTGTTTGTGTGTGTGTGTTTGTGTGTGTGTGTGTAGGATTGTTACAACCAATGGAATACAGGATTTATTTTAGTCCTAATATCGTGTATGCAATCAGCTCTTTAAGAAGTTTAGATCACATAATGAGTTATGCAGCTGCTCTGGTTTAATTTATTAAATCATTTATCAAGGTCTCTCTAAAAATAGATAGTTCCAACACTAAACAGTTTTTACCCTGTAGAGGTCAAACAGAAGTGATTTTCATAACCCTGTGCCACCACTGAATACTTGAGATGAAATCCTGAGGGACGAGAACAGGAACTGAGAGGGAACAGAGTGAGGTGTGTTAACTGGGGGGTGGGGGGTGGGGCGGGCGGGTTACTGTGGGGTAAAAGAGGAGGAGGCTAAGGAGGGCATGCAAAAGGAGAGAAGGAACAGAGGACTATTGTTTACAATGTAATCTGATGCTGATCTGACCCCCCCCCATGCACAAACCCACCTGAGACCAGTGAACGAGAGGGGGGGCTGGGAAGAGGTCAGACACAAAACTAGCATAGAAGAAGAGCAAGGGTAAAGATGGAAGAAGTACTTGGATCTGGTACTTTAGTCAAAGTAGTAGTACTCAGATATTGTACTTGAGTAAAATAGAAGTACCAGACTGTAGGAATACTCTTTTACAAGTAAAGGTCCTGCAATCAAAATGTTACTCAAGTAAAAGTAGAAAAGTATTAGCATCAAAATATACTTAGTACCAAAAGTAAAAGTGGCGTGTTGTAAAATATTTCCATTAGGAAACACAAATGAAGACAAATGTGCCAAAACACATGAGATGACGAAACATCTTCACAAACTTGAGGAAACATGCGCAGCGCTTACTAAAAGCTGCATGAACCAAACACTGCAAATACAAAACGCTGCACGAGTCGGACACCGTAGGATCATCTGAAAACTCCTCAAACGTATTCCTTATTGTGGCCTCAGAGGAAAAGTCGAGCGATCACTACATTCTTAGTGAAGGTCGGTATACATTCCAAATTCACTTGTTGAAATGTTATTTTAATTCAATTACATTTTTGTTGAAACACTTCAGTCTGGACCAAAGTGGACAGAGCCACAGTAGCATGAAGCCGTGCTGCTGGTCGTGGAGATGAAGGGTTTCTAATCAAAGCAGACATTGTTACATGTGAAGATGATGATTGAGATCTCTGAAGAGGATCAGATTCTACTCAGACGATGCCTTTCCAGCTTATCTTCCCTCTCTGATAGAGACATGTGTCTTCATCTGTTTGTTTCATGTCTTTATTCAATCTTCATTTTATCTCCACTACAATGGACAACACGACTGGAACTATACAAATTGCTTAAACGCTATAGTGGATTTTCAGATGAATGATTATTTGAACCTTGTACTTGATGTGTTGCAGGTTATATAAATATAAAGCCTATAGGAAATGATTGAAGTCATTTAAAGAATGATTTCCCTATATAATGTTTGTTTTTTGTTTGCAGCCAGTTATAACATTGTCTGCAGCTTCAACAGTAAGAACCATGCACACCTGGATACAGCAAATAATCATTTTTAATCCCATCCATCCAGTCCTTATTAATGCTGAGGGCCCGGTTGTGTTGTGTTGTGTTGGGTTGGGTTGTGTTGTGTTGTGTTGTGTTGTGTTGGGTTGGGTTGGGTTGGGTTGTGTTGTGTTGTGTTGTGTTGTGTTGGGTTGGGTTGGGTTGGGTTGGGTTGTGTTGTGTTGTGTTGGGTTGGGTTGTGTTGTGTTGTGTTGTGTTGTGTTGGGTTGGGTTGGGTTGGGTTGGGTTGTGTTGTGTTGTGTTGTGTTGTGTTGTGTTGTATGGCACTGCAGATGGAAATGTGATCAACTTGTACAGAGCAGCTCAACACGTTTTTCTTTACAGCTTTTTTATAATATTCAGAAACAGGGAGCAGTAAAAGCTCCCCATTCACTCAGGACACATCTGGTTTAACTTTTCTCCTTTTGGATCTGATCCATTTCTCTCTCTCATTACAGGAGAGAGGGATGAAGAGGTGGAGAGAGGAACACACACAGGGAGAGAGAAATTGGACCAGCTTCAGACTGAAGGAGGACAGAGAGACTGCTGACTCACATCTTCACTGAGTGCTTGTGTTCGTGTGTGTGGGTGTTTCCTTTCTGCATAACTATTGTGTGTATGTGTGTGTAACATCCGCCATGCGGTTGTGTGTGTACTGTTTCAATATTACTGTACGTGTCTGTGTCCTGATTACAAAGATAGGAGACTTCACAACCAGCCCTGCTGTCTCTGCTGTCAAAACAAGAGGCACACACACACACACACACACACACACACACACACGCACACACGCACACGCACACGCACGCACACACAGACACACACATTTACACACACATTTACACACTCAACACACACACGTCTGTACTCTGCTGCGTACATCATGTGTTACAGACATGTCACATTTTACAAACTGTATTTAGAACATTCTAATATGTTGTTATGAATCTTTAAATCTAAAACAAATGCAGTCAACATGAAGCGAAATGTGTCTTTAACAGAATAAACTCAACCAACTTTTGAATCCGAGTGTTACCTGAATGAGACTAATTCTGTGGTGGCCCCCGACCAGTAAGCCTCATTTAACACTGTAACACTGTAACACTGTAACACTGTACATGCAGCATTTTTACATGTGATGAGCCCTTTGACACGTCATTTGTCCAATGGAGCCTTTTTAGCTGTTATATGCTCGAGCAATGAAGGTTGTATAGAAACTTTTCAAGGAGATGTATTCCAAATGACTAGCCTATTTTATAATGGGATTTGTTCCCCTTTATAGTATTCAATGTCTTGAAACTATAAAGCTTCCACATGTACACAGACTGTTGTTAATGACATGTCAGTTTGAATGTTCAGTTCCACTCCTGGGGGGCTAAAGAGCGCAACACTTGAATCCGCAGCTGTGTGGTCATCGGATGCCCTGCAGCTCACATCAGAACCACATTCAACTGTTGGTTACTCTTGTCCAGGGGCGCAGATAGTGGGGGGGACGGGGGGGATGCTGATCCGACCCCCTATTTTTAATTTTTTTTAATCATTTCTTTCAATATATACATTTTTTCATATGATCGTTGTAATTAAATCATCTTAGATAATTCGGATGTGCCCACCCAGGGGTTAATGTTATGATTGTAAAACACATAATAAAACAAATAGTAAGTAAATATCGTGAAAATAATTTCTCTGTTTCGTCCCCCCCCATTTAAAAAATCTCACCTGCGCCCCTGCTCTTGTCCTCCGCTATTCCTGGTTCCTGGTTCAAACTTGTACAAACCTCCGTGTGCTGCTCAGAAGGAGACACTCTTCATACTCACTGTGACACTGTCGCTTTCTTTCAACCAGCTTTACACAAACTACACCATGAGTTTCAGAGTTGCTACTTGTGTTTAGTTAAAAATACAAATTACAAAATACAAAAATCCTCGATTCTTAGGCCCAGGGGGATTCAACTTTGGTCCAGTGAGCCCCCAGGCTTGCGAGACACTGAGAAGCTGCCACACTGACGGTACGTCCACACAGCAGCGTTAAAAAAATCTTCCAACGCTTCTGCCCATTCACTTTGAATGGGGTGACCTCACTTTGCCTCACTTTTCGCCGAACTGCATTGTGGGAAGCAGAGCGGAGCTTTGCTGGCGTTTCAGGCTGCAAAAGTTGAGCAATGTTCAACTTTTGAAGCTTCTGAAGCTTCGGTGGAAGCGTCAGCCAATCAAATCCCGTTTATGCAGCCAATCAAACCGCGTGTATGCTGGGAGAGGCACACCGCAGGTCATTTCCTCATATTCCAAAAAATGGAGCAAGCTTCAACGCACGCCGCTGTGTGGACGGGCTGTGAGAAAACTGAAACATTGACTTTAATGAAATGTAATATGTCAACAGATTTCACATAACTGTATTAGGTTAGTTCAAAGCAATAATATTAACTTTAAATACAAAATATTAGGTTCAACTTAATATTATTGTGTCCAACCAACCTAATACAGTTATGTGAAATCTGTTTCAGTGTAACAGCTAACTAGCTCTCCTCCTAGAGACAGTATTTACAACAAGAAAAGACACAGAGTACTATTCAGTGCTCAGTGCAGTTGATCTGCTTATTGTAGTTACAGTTTTACATGCATGCATACAAATTGACTGGAACATGAGAGGTACGCAGAGATACTCACACTAGTTGTGTGTTATGAGCTGTTTAGCTGTTGCTAGTCTTTACCAATGAGAGAAACTTGACAGTTCTTTACATTTGAGCATGTAAAGTGCATAGAATTTACGTTCTGACATGTCAACAGTATTGTGTGCTTTAGCTACGATTAGGCAGATGATTTACCGCTGCTGTAGGTTGCTCACTAGTTAGGAGATAGCTAGCTAGCGTATTTTAAGTTGTTAGCAATTCCAAAAACGTTGTCAGTGTTCACGAAGTTAAGTGACAGAATGCTAGCATTATATACCTGCGGGTGAACGTGAACAGCAGGCATCGTCAGAAGTCATGTGACTGCATGTGGTGCCGTTACTTCAGTAGATTGATATTATGTGCTATAAGATAAGATAAGATAAGATAGTACTTTATTGATCCCAAATTGGGAAATTGTTTTTGTTACAGCAGCAAAATAGACAAATAAAACAAAACTACAAAATAAACAAGAATAGAAAGAAAAAGAAAATAAAATAGAAAATATACATGTTGAAATAGAAAATATACATGCAGATATTATATATAAAAATATATATATATATTCAAAATATATGACATATGGAATATGGAATATGGAGTATTAAATATTGAACAGATTATGTATGAGTAAAATGTACAACGTGGTTTTATTTCTATGTGCTATAAGCAGGAGATTAACAGTTAGTGTGAGGATGGGTTTACATTATTTTCAACTATTAACGTGCACAGTATAGTGTTATATTTGTAAGACTGGTTAGGTTATGATCTGGTGTTAAAGTCTAACATTTTACTTCAGCTGCTCATTGATCATACTCCACATCCTCATCTTGCACTCAGAACAGCTTCAGTTAGCCAAACTCACATCAATGTTCTCTTTGTCCAACTCGTTTGTGTTTCAGTCCATGTGTGGCTAGCCTTTTTCATTATTAGTGCTTTATGGGTTCATAGTTCTCCTGACCCTAGGACCCTCACAGAATCTCCATGACAGTGAGTCTATACAGGTCTTGTGACCTTTCACTTCTAAATAGTGTCTTCTTTAGACTACTTTATTCATCTTTTAAAGAGGCTGTTCTGCTTTTGGGGGGTCTCCCTCACCTGTAGTGTGTTATGTTTGTCTGCAAAGGCTCAAATCCCTGTGTTCCCTCCCATTCTATTACCTTATTTACACCTGCCATTTCAATGTTTTAGGAAAAAAGGACCGGACCACATCCAGAAGATAAGTGCAATCAAGTAGGCCAATGACCACGTTCTTACAAAGAAAAACAAAGAAAAGCAAATCGATATTCCGGCTGAGGCGATCACACCACGACCACAAACACATTGAAATACAAAGACCATGGATCAGAGGTCATCATCTAGATAAAGTATTCAGATACAGATCCTGTTAATACCAAGTGTAAATGTGAAGGGACTGTGTCTGACAAATGAAGCTGAGAGAAACTGTGAGCACTCATGACTGTTACTGTAAAGCCACAATAAACCGAAACACTGACTTGTGAAAACACTGAATGATCCAGTGTTTTTTTCTTCTTATCTTGAACCCAGATTGATGCAGTTGTTAAAAATGTTCCTTTCCTTCAAACAGTGTTCACATTAAACCAAGAATGTCTGCTGTATACCCGACACTTCCTCTCTGCCATGGAGCTCCATTGTCCACACAAACCATTAAACCCCATTACCAAGCCACACTGCTCCTTCATCAGCACCAACACACACCACTTCATTTTCACTTCATCTCACAGTCCTGCTGGGAAATCACTGGACCTTCTTTTAAACAAAATCATTTATTTCTGAGCTAAGGATTTACATCTGTAGTAAATGTACTTGGTCACAGACTGGGTCACAGACTGGGTCACAGACTGGGCATCAGACTGGGCATCAGACTGGGCATCAGACTGGGTCACAGACTGGGCATCAGACTGGGCATCAGACTGGGCATCAGACTGGGTCACAGACTGGGCATCAGACTGGGCATCAGACTGGGCATCAGATTGGGTCACAGACTGGGTCACAGACTGGGTCACAGACTGGGTCACAGACTGGGCATCAGACTGGGCATGAGACTGGGCATCAGACTGGGCATCAGACTGGGTCACAGACTGGGCATCAGACTGGGTCACAGACTGGGTCACAGACTGGGTCACAGACTGGCTCACAGACTGGGTCACAGACTGGGCATCAGACTGGGTCACAGACTGGGCATCAGACTGGGTCACAGACTGGGTCACAGACTGGGTCACAGACTGGCTCACAGACTGGGCATCAGACTGGGCATGAGACTGGGCATCAGACTGGGCATCAGACTGGGTCACAGACTGGGCATCAGACTGGGTCACAGACTGGGTCACAGACTGAGTCACAGACTGGGTCACAGACTGGGTCACAGACTGGGCATCAGACTGGGCATCAGACTGGGTCACAGACTGGGCATCAGAGTGTTGAAAGATGGACTATTGGTTTGGACTTTCATCAGATTACAGAAAGAGCAGCCGGATCCTCCAGTCAATACAGAGGACAAGCTGATCTCAGGCCTGTTCAAATATTTGAATCTTTTTGTGGTTGCTGTCAGGAGGACAGTCCTAACGAGGCCCAGCCATACCGAGCGGGGCCGAGCGAGGTCGTGTAGTGGAAACGCGCCATAGTTTAGCATACTCAGCCCGACTCAGCCCTGTTTGTTGGCCTCGATAGAACCACAATTTTCTCGGGCCAGAAAAGACGTGAAAAAGTGGCCCCGGGCCGGGCCGGGCCGGGCCGGGCCGGAACTAGGCCTAGTGGAAGCGCAACCAAAAACGGGCACGGCACGACACGGCACGCTTAAAGCGAGCTCCGCGCTGTAGTGGAACTGCGCCATTAGAGACAGATTCATTTAGGACTATCAATTGTTCAAACGTTTGGTGCATTATCTCTTTAACTTAGTACAAGTGTCATTCTTATTTATTACATTTAAATGATATATATATTATTAACTTAGAGAAGCTTCCAAGTGCATATGTGTCCTTTCTATGTGTGATGCATGTTAATACATTCATCATTTGTAGTGAGAACATTTGAGTGACAGTGGTTTGATGATCCTCTTTGTGTTTGAAGATTTCTAAGAAAATAGCATTGATTTTGTGAGACTCTACAAATGTGGAATTGCTTCGGAGTGTACATGTTAGCATGACTTCTTGTGAAAATATATTCTAGTATTTAATAAAAAAACAGTAAAAGTGACTAAAGACAGACATTTAGCATAAAGAAGATCTCCATTTGAAAAGAGACAGAGATGTCTCATATTCCAGACGTCTGTGTGTTCCCCTCAAACTCTGTTCAGTATGTTCAGTTAACAGTTGAGTCAAATCAAAACTGATGAAAGG